ATGCCCGTCTGAAGTTTGCCAATGAACATCTGAATGATTTAGAGGACAACTGGGTGAAAGTGGTGTGGTCAGATGAGACCAAAATGGAGCTCTTTGGCATCAACTCGCCGTGTTTGGAGGAGGAGGAATGCTGCCTATGACCCCAAGAACACCATCCCCACCGTCAAACATGGAGGTGGAAACATTATGCTTTGGGGGTGTTTTTCTGCTAAGGGGACAGGACAACTTCACCGCATCAAAGGGACGATCGACGGGGCCATGTACCATCAAATCTTCGGTGAGAACCTCCTTCCTTCAGCCAGGGCATTGAAAATGGGTCGTGGATGGGTATTCCAGCATGACAATGACCCAAAACACACGGCCAAGGCAACAAAGGAGTGGCTCAAGAAGAAGCACATTAATGTCCTAGAGTGGCCTCGCCAGTCTCCAGACCTTAATCCCATAGAAAATCTGTGGAGGGAGCTGAAGGTTCGAGTTACCAAACGTCAGCCTCGAAACCTTAATGACTTGGAGAAGATCTGCAAAGAGGAGTGGGACAAAATCCCTCCTGAGATGTGTGCAAACCTGGTGGCCAACTACAAGAAACGTCTGACCTCTGTGATTGCCAACAAGGGTTTTGCCACCAAGTACTAAGTCATGTTTTGCAGAGGGGTCAAATACTTATTTCCTCATTAAAATGCAAATAAATTTATAAACATTTTGACATGCATTTTTACGGGTTTTTTTTGTTATTCTGCCTCTCACTGTTCAAATAAACCTACCATTAAAATTATAGACTGATAATTTCTTTGTCAGTGGGCAAACGTACAAAATCAGCATGGGATCAAATACTTTTTTTCCCTCGCTGTATGTCACACTGAATGCCAATCGGTAATGTAACTTTTAGACATCACAAATGTTAAAATCAATGAACTGGGAATCTAACTTGGTACCTTCAACATCACGACAGCTAATTTTGCTCATAAATATGATGATGAAATACATTACATTTGGTGAATATTTAGAAATGAATACGTGAATGTTATGATTGGGATGCAGCATATTCTTACCACGTGATCTGTTTTTTTCATTCGACGTTCAGAAGTTATTGCTCAGAAGGACGGTGACCAAATCTGGCGAAAAAGATTATGTTTCCTAACTAATTAGGTACACAAATCCGTGGTCAAGTTGTCCAAACAATATAAAAATGCAATGAAAAAAATATGATTTGTTTTTCGTGCCAAATTGTATGAATGAGAATTACACAGCTGAGAAAAGAGTCACGTGTCACGTCTGGTCTGGTCTGGTGTGGTATGCCTGGGAACGACCCCAGGCCTCTGGAGGCAGAGCTTTGGTGAATTGCACAGACGTCATCTTGCGTGTGTGGGATTACGAGTTGGTCTGTAAGAAGGCAGTACACCAAGTAGGTTGTTACCCTATTCCGATTATTTGTTGTTGTTAATCCCCAATTTGAGTGAGTTTTCTCTGAGGAGTTTGGTTTCCTCCTCCCTTAATAAGGCAATGGCTAAACATAGTATTAATGACACAGCCGAAGCATGTATTCCCCAAACGCTATCAACTCGCTACACTTGAGAACCCATTTTAATGACACGTGGCTGCCCAGATTCAGGCCCAGGATCTCCGGGGGCATCGCGGTGGTGAGATGTTAACTTCCTTCGCCTGGTCTGCAGGGGGTTGTGGGTTCGATCTCGACTCTGATGCCTGTATATTTGGAGTTTGCATGCCTCTCTCCCCGTGGCCACGTGGATTTTTCTCCAGAACCTCCGGTTTTTCCCTCCCACATTATAAAAACATGCGTTTTGAGTATTTAGCTGCTATAATTGTTCACCCGATAAGCCATTTCGTTAAGCTTTCATTTGTGGCCAGGTCAATTCTGAAAAAAAGCTATATAGCACAGTGGGCCTTGCGTTGTCAAAGAAAAAAGAAATAGCTTAATTAGTTTAATTTCTGCAGTGTTGACTCACTGCTCAGACCTCTGAGCCATCTATCCACCTCTGATATCTTTAGTTTAATTTGCTCATAATCTGCTCGTAATATGCGGATAGAGGCTTCAAGTGTTAAGAACTATGGATACACTGTACTTGCTCCAATCTGTGAAACCTTAGCATGCACGTGTCAATTATATTTCTAAGGGGTGCCACAGTGTCGAGATGTTAACTACCTCGCCTGGTACGGAGGAAGTCGTCGTGTTTGATCCCGACCCTGACGCCTGTTGTATATTTGGAGTTTACATGTTCTCTCCGTGGTCATGTGGATTTTTCTCTGGGTTCTCCTGTTTTCCCTCCACGTTTTGAAACATCCATTGAGAGTATTTGCCTGCTGTAACATTCAATATGATGGGCCAATTCGTTGAGTTATCGTTTGTGGCCAGGTTGCTTCTGAAAAAGAGCTATATAGCTCAGTGGACCTTACCTGGTAAAATAAAAATAGTAAGACAAAAATAGTTGAGACACCAGTGTTCATGTATAGAAAACTGGTATCTTAAAGATATATTTCAAGACAAAAAGTTATTCCATATTACCATAACATTTTATGATCTGGTGTAATGTTTATATATTTAATCCATACATCACCTTATGAGGTGTTTGCATCTTCTTGAAAGTAGCGTACGCTAGCAACATTAACAGCCATGAATATTGCTCCTGACAGCCGATGTGTTTTAAGTCCTTGACCTTTGACGTTCAAATTAAACATCAAGGCTTTTTGCCTGCCACACGGAGGCTTCACACACCAAGGCTGTGTTGTCCATCGAATAACTAATCAATCATCTATTCATCACTAAGTGGTGGAGACATCGCGAAAGCAGTCAGTGTCACCCTTGGTGCAACGAGGCCACGTGGAGGGGTGAAGGATTACTGACCAAAGGTCACAGAACAGAACCAGGTGGTGTGGCTTTGAAGGCTGGACCTAAGTGCCCCATGGCCCCCATTAAAGCTAAAGAATTAGGGTGTTGTTAGCGAGCACCTATTTAGGCCACCATGGCTAATGGTCATCACGGATACTTGCTGCTTCCACGCCCGCACCCCCCCCCCCCACCCCCGTGGCCCCTCCCCATGGTGTTAACGTTAACACACCGCATCATCAGACACCCATTTAAATCTGAGTTGACCTATAAGGTGCCCGTGGCAGGTCGGATGCTTTGACAACAATTATTTCCATCGGATCCAGGAATCAAACCTGGCTTACAGTAACCATGATGGACTTGATCACTACACCGCCATGCTAACATTTTTTTTTTAATGAGCCGCTTTCAAGGAATCAGAATTATTTATTTATACTGGAGGAGGAATCCGACGATCTATGAAGCTCATTTTCACAGACATCCAGTCGGGGCGGGTTAGGACGTCTCAACAACAAACAATACAAAAGCACGATAAGAGTGAAAAGTTATTTGAAAGGTAAACAAATCGCTGAAAAAAATACTAATTACAATTGTTTTTGGTGTTTTCAATCTCACCAGGTAAAAGTGAGCCTTGTGCATCGCGATCTCGACGCTGGCTGCCGTGACGCGGTCAGCGTCGGAGAGTTGAATTCACGAGGGGGCCAAAATCAAAGAGATTTTGTGTGTGTGATCGACCCTGCTGAAGTGCATGGACACTACGACATACGTGGCAACATTTTTTGTGGAAGGAGCAATAACAAAAAAACGATCCAAGGTTAATTCTAATGCGAAGCACTTTCAATATGAATCATATTGACGTAATTGCGTGACCCCCGACCTCGTACGCCTGACTGAACGCCTCAGCTGAGCCGATGTCAAGGGCGCAACTTTTCTTCAGTTTTAAAACTCGGAACGCAGCATGGCTGGGTTGTTGTTGTTCTATCGTGCACGCGCTCCACAAACACATAATTCAACACTCGCACAATACACAGTCACCAGTTTAACACGTAGGAGGCTTTCGCGACCAATGTCATCCATAAGAGTTTTTTTTTTTGGGCTAGATCGCATACATATATAAGTGTGTCATTAAACCCGCCACCACCCGACACAGCCAACTAGTAAGGGTTGTTACGTAAACAGAACGTGGCCAATTCGTCACTAGTACAGCACACCGGTGTGTTGGAGAGCAAAGCCACAACATTTACAATCTGAGTACGACGTTTCGCCATCTAGTTCTAATTACTAGTGAAACGTCGTACTAATTGGCTGTGTCGGGTGGTGGCGTGTTTGACGACACATTTATATATTTACGCGATCTAACACGCAAAAAAACCTGTATTACACAGTCATCAATATGTGAAGCATATATATGAAACCGGAGAAGAGTCAACAGAGCATGCATTTGTTTACTACGAATGTTGCGTAAGTGCTACTGTATGGTTTATGTAGCAACCATATCAAGTGCAGTTGATATAGAGTCGCGTGTACATGCAGTATATACGAGCGACATTTTAAACGTTCAACCATCAGCTTCTGAATCCACACATTTAAGGACTGCTCACTTTTAGTCTGTATAGTAGATCAAGCTATGACTTACTCCATCATCCCTCATGGGTCAATAACATTTGCACCACTTCTGCGGGGAAGTCACCACTGGCTGTCCTCTGGATAGACTCACCCCCGCCATAGGAATGTGGAATGTGTCTTAAAAATGACACTTGCATGCCGTGGTTGTTGTTGCTGTTGAGCCTGTGACTTGCCACTGCTGGCCAACTGCTTCCCCCGTTGTTTTAAGACTCTTCCTCTTCAGTTTAACACGTAGGCTTTCGCGACCAATATTATTCATAATAAAGGTTTTTGGGTTAGATCGCGTTATAAATGTGTCGTAACCCTCCACCACCCGACACGGCCAATTAGCAAAAAAGTGTCACGTTGACAAAAGACAAATAGTTCACTACTTTAGCCCACCGGTGTGTTGAAGAATGAATCCACAACATTTACAGTTTGAGTACGACGTTTCGCTGGTAATTACATCCAGCATCATCGGGCAATTCGCCAGAATGGTGTCTTTTGTCAACGTGACACTTTTTTGCTGATTGGCCGTGTCGGGTGGTGGAGGGTTACGACACATTTATAAATAACGCGATCTAACCCAAAAACCTTTATTATTAATTCTTCCTCTTCCTTGCCTCGTGTCCCAACGTGGCCTCCGAACTCTGCGGTGTCGTCTCACTGCTGTCGTTCCATCCCGCTGCCCCTCTCTGCTTCTCTTTGCTTCTCTGGGTCTCCGCTCCACAGTCGATGTTGCCTCTCATCGGTTGTTCGCATGACGTGTGCTGCTAATTTTCAATGCTTTTTTGTGTGTTTGTTTGCTTGTTTTATCAACAGCATCAGTGCACCCCGGCTTGTTTTCCTTATACAGGGTGCTTCAGTAAGTGTGCTGCTGCCTCGGGGCTCTGGACACCACCTGGAGAATATTCCAGGCGTGCGTGTACAACGATTGCCAACAAGTGGAGGCTCTTTGACTTTTTGAAGCGATTAACATCACATTTGTTCTCATGTTACGGTGTACTGTCCGTTCTTTTCCATTAAAAATGTAAGTCCCAAATAAGTGATTTATACAAAAAAAATATTTAAGCACCCTGTACAATGCATCACTTAACCTTTAACTTCGACTTACTCCCACATTTACGTTCCACACATATTTAGGCGAACGTGTGGCTTGTTCTTTTTGTTAACTCGTTTCTCGGCGAAGAGCCATGTTTGCGATCCATAAACCGCGACTGCGAAAAAAAGAAGAAGAAGAATTAAAACACGTGTGCGCGCAGTGTGTGCAGACGTACAAATAATACACGGCTGCGTTCGCGTGGAATGATCGCCGTCCTGGTCACTGCTGGCACTGGTGTCACTCAGCGCTACGGGCGGCAATCGCTGCAGACTGACCGGGGATACACAGGCGATTCGTGCGGTGCGCACGGCTGAACGGAAATTTGAGAGCCATCGCGTGAACACCGACAAAAAAAACAAGCGTAACGGGAGGGTGGGGTGGGGTGGGGTGGGGTGGGGGTCGCGACCTTCATTCCAATGTCTGGTGGACATTAAATGAACTCATATACGGCGGTGCCCTGAGTTCACGGAGCCACGTGTCGCGCGCGTTGGCTCCCATACTGGAACGACTTTTATTCCTCACGGAAGTCCTCCTGGGAGGTTATCTAACACTGCCATAGGTGCTGAGGCGAGACCTTTTTTTAAATTGTTGTTGTGTATGTTCAAGTGTTCGTTAATTCACGTTGCTGAGAAATAGCATCGTATGCCCGCTTGCATAATTATTGGTAGTGTTTTCCTTCTTAATTATACTCGTTCGATACAAGAACAGCTAAGTTATAGCTCGTGACAGTGTAATGTTTTAACGTGTATTTCATTGAATCCAACATTTAGCATACATTGCTATCACGGTTTACTCTTCGGTTCTTTCGGTAAAGTCACGTAGAAATAAATTAAATAAAAATAACATTTATTTTAATTTAATTAAAAAATATTATTCTTATTTACTTTATTTCTACGTGACTTTACCGAAATAACCAAAAAGAAATTCGTTCAGTCACGAAAGCTTCGAAACTGTGTAGTTTAGTTACGTAACTTACTTTGCAATTTAATGTCATTATAATTTAATGTCAGTCACAGTCTGTATAACAAATATTTTCACAATGCGAATTGTAAAGAACGCAATGAATGTATTAGCGAACACAATTTTTATATCGCGGATACGAATTTGAAATAACGCGTTTGAGTGAACGGAACTACGTAGCGCGAGTAGGAGTAAGCGGCCATACGGCTGCCTCGGCGTGGCATCACACAAGGCAGTGGCAAGGCAGTGGGATGCTGCTGGATGCTTCAAGACGCTACCCACGTGCCCCAGTCTTTGTTCAGCCTGCGTACGCATCTCACGGTGTTATCGCGGACCGTGTTTTACCCTACATTATGTATTATTTATTAGAACGCGATTTTCTTCAGGAACGCAACTACCGCGTTACTGCGGAACAGACTGTATATGAAACTTTTTTTTGTTGTTGCTGCAAATCAACAAAGTAGACCGAGCGTCGAATGGGTTTTCCTTGAAGCGTGTCTCCTCTCTAAAGGAGGGTATTTCACGTGGCATGCTGCCCTGGCCCAATGGCGAGCACACTGGACCGTTTGATCTCCCGGTCAAAACAATCTCAGCGAGTTTCTTCCACACCCCCTCCCTCTGTCCACCCCGCGCCATAAATGGGTCCACCACAGCGAGTCGATCTCCAGGTGCATGTGGTGGGGTAAATTGGTGGGGGGGGGGGGGGTACTCCCACCACCTCTTCAAAAGATATCTGGCTCGTGTAGAAGAATAGGGTCGAAAAATACCCTCCAGCCAGCCAGCCAGCAAAACTTGTTTCGAATATCGTTTGATCGAGCGAGAGCGTATCCCGCGGGACACATGGCTGGGTGGAAAGATGGGGGCGGGGAAGGCGTGAAGTCTGCACAATATGCACGAACCCCGACTGAGCGCTGTGTGGGATGCGGGCATTTGCCCGCAAGCAAGCCAGCCAAACCGGAATCCAGGCCGGAAGCCAGGCAGCAAAACTTGTATTCCAAAATACAGTCGTATGATCGGGTTACAAGGTGGTGTTAGCCAGTGATGCTGATGGTAAAGTATATTCAGTCTGGGATGAGATAGAGAAAACGCTGCATTTGAAATGCGCATGTATTCCTCGATTTACGAAAGGGATGCATTCTTTGAAAAACACGCGTACATTGCAATTTCTGTAACATTTAGGAATGGTTTTTCGCTTTAATTTAATAACAACAACAAATTAGGGCTGTGTTTCGGACGGTCTCTTGCTAAATCTAACCTAAAAAAATAAACAGCCAATAAAACAACTGTAATAAAGAACATGAATATTAAATTATGAAGAAATAAGAATAGGTGTTATCCTTTCTGTCAATAAAACAGGTGTTAAGATGGTCAAACACAAAATAGAAACCTTTTTGCAAGGAATCAAGAAAAGCAGTAACCACACGTGCTTGTGGTGAACATGCAAACACACACACACACACGCTCTGATAATATATTGCATTGTCTTTGAAACTGATTGGCCTCCACGAGAAAGAGCCTTCTTTGTGGCCTCGTCTCACCAGTGTCAGACCAGCGAACGCCAATAGGCGAACAGTACAAAGACAATGCCACTATGAGAGCATCTATAGCTCGGGGCGAGCAGCTATATCACGAGACCTTTTAAGGCAGTATCAAAGTGTGATAAAATACGAATAGGTTTGACTCTTTCTGGCAATACAACGTGAAGTGTTAAGATGTTCAAACACCAAATAGATTATACCTTTTTTGCAAATAATCAAGTACTGCATTAACCGCACACAGTATATGTGGTGAACATGCAAACATGTTCTGATAATATATGCAATGTATTTTAAACTGATTGGCCTACAGGAGAAAGAGCCTTCTTTGTGGCCTCGTCTCACCAGTGTCAGACCAGAGAACGCCAATAGGCGAACAGTACAAAGGCAATGCCACTATGAGAGCATTCTTATTGCTTCACACTTTGATACTGGCAAAACGGTCCCATTTTGTAGCTGCTCACCACCCCGAAGCTATAGATGCTCTGACAGTGCATTGTCGGTTTACGATTGAATAATAATAATAATAATTATTATTATTATTATTTTTAACCAAAAATAATCAACGTTTTTGGGGTGCACGCCAACAGCGCCGCTGCACGTGGGATTGAGTGGCAAGGCGTTGCGTGCAGGCGTTGCTGCTGCCACCACAGGGACATCGTGGAAGCAGCTGCCGCGGGTTGGATGCCGCAGCCTCGCGGGTTGGATGCTTCTCGTTCGATGATCTCGCGGCGAGCGTGGCCGTCGTGAGATTTCATTAACGCGAAAAGTTCGATTTCGTTCATCGGAAAGTGTCAATTATTTGTCAATTTGCAGTTGACGCGAAATTTTCGTGAATCGAACCTTCGCGAATGTGGGATTTGGAATCGTCGTTGTTTTATACGTGTTCGATGTTCAATGCGAGAGTGGGTACGAAGAAATGAGCACTCTAAAATAAAACACACACACACACAGACTTAAACAAATCAAACAAAACACACGTGGTTTAAGACTTGAACAGAGCTGTATTGCGCACACATCGCAATACGTAATATTTGCAGCCGTGAGCAGGGTCACAGATGATCCCTTTATATGAAGGGACAACGTGTTTTGGAATCACCTCCAGTTTATTTTGTTTAACCAGACGAGAACTCAAGAGATCAGGATAGTCTCATTTGCAAGAGTGACCTCTAACTTACTGTGGCTATGTATTTCCACGTATATGTGTTGAGTGTTTGAGCCAGACTGGCCAGGATTGGTCAAGGACTACTGTTCACCCAGGCAACCGCAGGGCACAGACTTAGATCTTTCTTGACTTATCGGTAATAACAACAAACATGTTTGCGGTTGTCGCTTTTTACCCAAAATATAGACGCACTTATCAAGCGTCCATGCCGAATAATTGTGGGTGCGACATTACAATTTTATATTAAATGCTGCAATAAATGCTCGAATTCTTGATTCTCGTCGCTTTGCATAACCCACCGCTGTGCGCGTGAAGAAGAGATGTAAACAGGATGTGTGTCCCAGTTGTTTACGTGATAATTGGATGGCTAACTCAGCTGCGTGTTGTGGTAATGTTTCGATTTTAATGCATGAAGACATTTCTATAATATGAATGTATGCCAAATGCAGAAATTATGTAGTGTCGCACTGTAAAATGCAGGGTGTAACTGAAGAATCCTTCCGAGGAGGAGGTGGGGGGAGAGGGCGGTGTGTGGATGGGTAATGAGACATATATTTTACACTGGTACACTTTAAAGCAAAGTAATCTTTCTGAACACACATGTAGGACAGACAACAACAGGGAAATTAAAAGTGTGTTGTCTGGATAAATGGAAGGAGCCGAAAAGAAAGGAAGACCTCACAGAGAGAGTGGCTTGACGACAACATAAAGAGTTTGGTGCCAGAAAGTTGTGGCCACTCCTTCAGCAAAGTGGCACAAGACAGAGAGGAAAGTTGAAACAAATGACGAAATGTGCAGTGGACACCGACGGGGCTATCTGCCCGTGGATGGCGACGATGATGATGATGATGATGAGGAATCTTTCTGCTTTTTAATATCAATGTTCACCTAGGTCCGCCGTTAATTTCCACAGGCACGTGAAATTCAAGGATAACGTAAACGTCCGGCAAGGATCCAATTAATAACTTACATCTCATGTGAACAACTCCAGCGTTGACTCGAGACAGATTTACGTTCGTTGCAGTACATGGAAGGTGCAGCCTCTGCAACTGCTCACTGGTGCCACCGTTGGCTCGAGACGATTCGACTTGAGGGGTAGCTGAGGCAGGGCCCCAACGGCCCAAAAACACCATGAGGCCAGCAACAAACAGCACCTGGCCAGATACACGACAGCACTCGTGGTAAAGGACAGGGAGAGGTTGCCAAGTGGCCTGCGCTCGTTGTTGGCTGCGATCCAATGCCATGCTTCTTTGCTGCTCGGGCGATTATTAAATAAGGCATTCAGCGTGTTAATTTGTGTAGGCGTTTGAGATCCAGTGATATTGTTAACACGAATAGAGGCCCTTGTGTGGCTGCATCAGATCTGTTCAGATACCCACAATTACCATATTATCCCTGTCTTTGTAGTCGCCACGGTTCAATGCTTCCTCATTCAGCGACCGGGATTTCTTTAGACCACAATACCACGTGGCAATGCCCTGCTTTGTACACGATTACGATGATTGTTGCAAATAAGCAAATCCATGAGTTACTGACGTGAAACATATATAAGGTTCAATTATTGCTCTGTTGTATTAACCTTTATAGCAGAGCCTTTGAACACGTCCTGTGTTAATTGGCTTTAAAGTGGTGTTAAGTTTTTTCACACCATCAATTATAAAATGATACCTTTACAGACGGTATAATATTTTTAAAATACAAGATATAATTTTAATCTTTTACTTTTAAGCTTACGTAAGCACCGTACATGCCTAGTCTAGGTGTCCCAGATGGACTGAAAGGGTTTTGAAGGTTTGATTATGAGCACGCTTATTTTTGCTTCATAATCAGCCGCTTCATTTTGGAATTCAGTGACTTCACTCCAATACATTTTTTTTTAAACATCTCCAAAGTAATGACACCACCGTGAGTGTTACGATGGAGCGCCTGGCCGTTACGTCACAAGTCTGTCCTCTCATGAGAGGTATTCTGCCGCCGAGCAATGGTGAGCACACGGGACTTGCAATCCAGAGGCCGCCGTTTCGATCTCCCGGCACGGTCAGTGAAGCATGAGGCAAGATTCTTAAATCCCCTTGCTTCTGTCCACCCAACGGTATAAATGAGTACCCCCGTACACAGTAGAGTCGATCAGCAGGCCGCGTGTGGCGGGGTAAAGTGATGGGTGCTCCCACCTACTCTAAGACATCTGGCCAGTGTGGAATTAAAAGCCAAAATACCATCGAAAGGTCATCTATAGTGCTCCCTCTTCGTGGAGGCCCTTCCACCAGGAGTGGTGTAAGGAAGACATTTCTGGACTACACACTTTTTTTATCTGATCTTAGTCCTATTCGCTCCCTGTGGAACATAAGATCGCAAATAGTCAACGCCATGCCAGACGGTCTATAGCAGCTTTCTATACTTTCTCATTATCAAAGCTGAGAGCAGTAGTGGAAATGGGCCGGAGCACCCCAGAGATGGGAGTGAAAATTTGAACCCGACCGAGTTCAGGAAGGAATCAATAATTCAGATTTGTTTTTATTTGACTCGCAGATATACCCTTAGGCTAACAGAGAGACCCACAGACACGCTCAGGTACCGACAGACGCGCACAAAGACCCACAGACGAGCACAGAGACCCACAGACGCGCACAGAGACCCACACAGAGACCCACAGACGAGCACAGAGACCCACAGCATCGCAGGGACCCACACAGAGACCCACAGACACGCACACATAGATACCATGGACGTGCACAGAGACCCAAAGACACGCACAGAGACCGACACGCACACAGAGAGACCCACAGACACGCGGAGACCCACACACGGAGCAAGCTCCTTCTCCTCCCGTTCTACCTCTCAGATATATTGCTGGTGGTCGGACATAATTGATGAGTTCCGCCAGTACAGTACGTACGCATACTGTATATGCCAACGCCACCACGTAAAACCTGCATCCACCAATATGTGCATTAACCCTGTCCCTCCTTGCCCAAACCAGAGTTTGTAAAAAAAAAAATGCTAATTCGAAAGCTCCTGACCGCAGACGAGTGTTATAGAATGCAGTAGCTTCCCTGGGTCAGATACTGGGACAAAGGTCACCCCGTTAAACCTTACCAGAATGTTGGGTCAATTACTGTTAGCAAGCACCTCTGACGCACGGCAAACGAGGGGGTGGGTGGCCAGCACCAACGCCCGGCCGCCTTTGTGTCCCCAGTGGCGATGTTTACACACCGCACCAGGTACTCGTTTAAGGCTGAGTCGACTTAGGAGGAAGCCCAGGACCGATTCAGAGAATCGTCACCGGTGTTTGGCCGTGGACGGGAATCCAACCCGGGTGGCCCGGGTTCGTAGTGCAGCGCGCTAACCGCTTCACTGCACGCAGACACAGACTCCACCACAGCACGTGCTGGCCACTACAATAAACATTCTAAAGCCACACCTGGCGCGTAACTCGAGCCGCACGCCACCCCCACCTCACAGGAGCTCTGTAGCGGCGACCTTGCATGGGTAACTGCCGACAGACGGTTGGAATGTGGTGGGGCACATTGGAAATGTGCCTGCTCCGTTACCACTTGCTGTCCCCCCCCCCGCCCGTACATTCGATTAGCACGACTGTCTACGTACGGTGCGAAAGAAGTTTAACATACATTACACACATGTACAGTAACCCCCCCCCCCACACACACACACCATTGACCCCATCCTCTGTGCCTACTTTAGCCCATCCATCGCAACAATGGTGGAGACATCTAACCGACGGTGAGTGCTACAATATGCTCACTGCAATCAAAACACCTTACTTATAAAAAGCAAATAAAGGCTGGGATGTCCCAACTTGCCATGGGTGATCCCATCCCTATCCGCACTGCCGATTTTTTTTATGAGAGCTTTAAATGTGGATGAAAAGAATCCCAGAAAAAAAGTGTTAATCCAACATCGCTGCATCGTTTGATTAGTGACACCCTAATTACGACGACTCATACAAGCTGGCGACTTAACACCCCTATTGTACAATATTGTGTACTGCATTAATTCCCGATCGTGATCCATATTCAAGCCCCTGGGGTTTCAATATATTGAAGTGCGCAGTGGTGCATCGTTGGGTCAACAAGAGGGACAGTGTCTTGAATAACCACATGGCACCACGTGTCCATGTTCGCGTACAATGCTTTGCCAGGTTCCAGGCTGAGCTGATTCCCTGCTAGAGTTCCATCTGTCTCGGGCCTGTGCGTAATCGTTCATCACGTGGAACCCCGCTCAGCGCATACCTGTCGCCAATGATCCCTCGCGCGCCATCAAACCCAGTGAATATGTTGTTGTTGTGGATGCAATGCTGCATATTATTGTGTTTCAAATGAATTGTAATTTCAAATGTAATTGCTGAGATTCTGCCGACATTATGCAATGGACACCATTGTATAGCCTAATTCAAGCCAATGCATATATAATTGTCAGATTATGCTTGTTTGCATGTTCACCACAAGCACGTGTGGTTACTGGAGACATGGTTCCTTGCAAGAGGTTGCATCTTAACACCTGTTTTAGTTGCCAGAAAGGGTCAAACCGATTCTTATTTGTTCAGCCTAACTCATGCTTAGATTTCTGTTGTTGCATAATCCGTGTTTTATTTGATGTCAGCGCCACCCCTCTGCTCACCACTGTGGCTCATCGACATTTGACTACTAAAGTCCCAAGGGGGAAATTATTCTTCATTTGCCTATGTATTATACGGTTTACATTGACTGAAATGCGTGCTTTTTGTTGTTGTTGTAATGTATAGATCTGCACCGGCGACAACCCTCTCGTAAGGAAGGAAAATAAACTTAATTTGCCGTATCCAAAACACAACACCACACATTTGTCCCGTTGGTGATACGACGCCTTATGTCCAGAATTCGTTCAGACCTCACGCATCGCCAGCGAAGGAGCCGTCGCGCTAAACCCGACAGCATTCGCATGGGGCTCCCCTCGCTGCATTCTCCACGACAATCCGTGCAAGCATTTCAGGATGTTTGCAGGGGCTCTGCTAATTTTTTTTCTGCGTGGCAACTACGCTATTGTCTAATTTGAGTCCACTCATTTTTTGTAAAGATCACGCAATTGCCTGCAGATGCTTCATCGCGCGCGAGGCGCATTACTGTTCTGCCACATAAACCCGCCAGCCGAGTGGACAAATGGAATCAATGGTAAGGAGAATTTGTCAAGCAGAAGTTTAAAAAAAAAACCCATAAATTTGATGTCTCCCGAGTTACGACTTTGACCTCTTGACATTTAATTGATGCATATTTATGTATGTCTGTTGAACTTCTCTCGCACCATACGTAGCCAACCGTGCTAATGGGAGGTGTGCACGCCCATGCCAAGTGCACACGGACCGGCTCCTGCCGCCCCGGTGTCTCGAGCTGCACAGGTCACCGCCGTGATCTCCCGCCTCGACATTTGGACACAATGGCGCAGGTGTGTCAAGCCGTGTAAATGGGTACAACGCAGTCAAGTCGGCAGGTCGTGTGCGGTGAGTTCAAGTGTGGCGACTTCCACCAATTATCCAAGACTTGTGGCCAGTGTGGAAGATGAGACTAAAGAGTATGTTCGTTGAACTTTTTTTTCTATCTCACCGTACGTAGACCAACCGCGCTAATCGGAGCACACTAAACGAAACGTGAAAAGCAGTTCTCATGAAATTAGTCTTAAAATCGAGATCGTTGAAAAGTGCACAACTCCAGTGACTTCCTAATATCGGAAGGAAGAGCGTTCCAGACGGCCACAAAGGCGCATCTGCAAGCGCCGCGCGATGATGCGGTGACCACGATCTTGTGCACCGCTCGTCGTCCCTCGACTGGTGGACCTTTCACCGGCAGAAACATCGCAGGGCTGCTCCTTTAGCTCTACACCAAGATCATGCCGGATCTCCACAGGGGAGACGGAGCATTGGAATCTGTTGCTGTTCAAGGAGCTTGCATGGGTTGTTGCGTTGTGGGACCGTGAGATATTGTGATCTATCCAGCAGTGGATACACCATGGCTTACAATAATGAGGTACAATCATGTAGTTGCGTTTTCAATAAATGCAAACACACCATACACCGATTTTATAATGTATATGTATTTATTGATTCATTTGCCAGATACACGCTGCATTAGCACCTGTGAATGTATCTAATTTGATGGTAAACTGTCGATTATTTATAACTTCACCTCCATTTGCTTTGACATAGAGCCTTGTCTGAATACATAATGGTACAATAGTTACCCTATATCTGTTGAATGTTTAATGTTCCTGTAACTTAATTTTGTGAGTGTATTACGATCAGTGTAAAAATTACGTATTAAATATATATTTTATTAGTTGATGCAATATGTTTGATTATTTACGTGACACAGTTGTCCGTTTGTGTTTTTTGCCTTTGTTCCGATTTCTAGTTTTTTTCATTGCCGTGACCTGGGTTTGCTTTTTTGTTAAATTTGATGGGACGGGTTCACGGATCCAAACGAGACCCTCCTGATCTCTTGACTTGCCTCCTGGTTAAACTAAATCCACCCGATCTTGACCTCCTCACGCAGGCGGCCTTTTCAGCAGCAATATAAAAAAAACCCTTTTCAGTTCCTACCAGAGACAGAGATTAGTGTCTTCGCCATCATCATCATCATTACCGCGACGACCACAATGTCGAAGTATGATAATCGCGACCAGCGTTTCTACAGCATAGCCCATTCTCCATCAGCAGTGCAACCACCAATCGTGGCATTAGAACTGATTTGCCTTGTCCTTCCCCCGCACATCCGATTAGCACGGTTGGCTACGTACGGTGTGAAAGAAGTTCAACGTACGTACATCCGTTGACATGGAGAGGGAGCATTGTATGCTAATAATCACTGGGTAGAAACTAGGAGCTTTCTGGATCATTGCAGACATGCACATCGTGCAGACTCTGTTGAGTGAATCAAACTTTGCTGAACCGGAGACGCAATTGGGAAGTATAAATTGTGATGTAAATTGGAATCAGTGAGGTGAACAAGTGAGGTGAACATAAAAGGAGAGACCCTCATAAAATTGCGATCCTGACAACCTTTTCCAGCGTAAAGAGGAAAAATGACAGCAATTATAGAGGGATTCTTAGTCTCCCCTGCCATAAAACAGTGTTCCAATGTGCAAAAGTACTGCACTTTAGATGTATGTTTCCAGCGAACTTGACTAAAAGTTAAAGGAAGATGCGCCCTTGACATATTTACCATGGACGTATAATTACAGCAAAGTGCTGTTGCCTCAATGCTCATTCGCAGATTAAGTATAATAGGAACAATATTAGTTGAAAGGTGGGTTATTTTGCTTGAAGAGAATATGGATGTTCTGGTAGCTCCACAATTTACATTCTATAGGGAAAATAACTCCTGTTATTATTTCTGCAGTCACCGTCAGCAACACTGTGGCATGCACTACAGCAGGTATTACTCTTATTACTATGTTTAATTTTACCAGGTAAGGCCCACTGAGCCATTTTGCTCTTTTTCAGAAGCAGCCTGGCCACAAATGATAGCTCAACGAAGTGGTTTATCATCACGTGGACATGTATAGCAGAAAGAACCAAAGAAGATGAATCCTTGCAGTCACGAAAGCTTTAAATCGAAATTTAGCCAAATATTCTAAACGCGTGTTTCTAAATGTGGAGGGAGAACCTGGAGAATCCCGGGGAGAACACGCGAACTCCAAATATACAGGAGTCAGGGCCAGGATCGAACCCAGGACCTTCTGCATACCAGGCAAGGTAGATAACATCTCGCCACCGTGGTTTATTACACACATTTTTAACAGGTAGACTATGTCATGTTGAGCTGCCAAAACGTTCTTCGGAAAAGAGTGATACAAATATATTGAATTATGTTTCCCGTTTGGAGTTTACATTTTGGATAATAAAAGTACATATATACGCAAACTATTACTTTATACCGCATAACGTTGCTAAATCTGGCTCGCTGCCGACTAAATGTACAGGCGCATACATGCAAATGTCGGGTATGTGAACATCCATAAAAGCGTGCACAACGATGTTACTGAATACAGCTGCTTTAAACGCGGGGAAATAATTCGTTGTGCTTGAGAAGCGGATGTATGGGAGACAAAGAATACATTACTGTGTTGAATTGATGCATTTGTAAACACACACAGACAAAGTATGTTAACAGACTGTTGGGGCCAGTGCTGCCATCGAGCACCGATGAAGGCCAGCACAGCACACGAGGGGGTGGGTGCCCGGCACCACTCCCGGCCGCCTTTGTCTCCCTGTCGCACCAGGTACTCATTTAGGCTGAGTGGACTTATGGGACGCCCAGGAACCGATTCAGATAATCGTCACTGATGTTGGCCGTGAGTTGTGATCGAACCCAGGTAACCCGGTTTCTTAGCGCAGCGTGACAACTACAGCACCGCCTCTCCCTAGACACACAGTTACATTATGGACTGGGTGTGGCCGGTTACTTGGTCAGAGAGGACATCTGACTGTCGGGAGCCGCGATGTTGTACCGTATTGTATCGAAATGTAAAGTATTAATTTCGTACAATTCTGTCAAGTTCGTAATTATGAGAAGAATCATCCTGAAAGGTACATGTTGTCGAATTGGGCTCTCAAATATCATCATGGTCTGTAGACGGAATGGTTTAATTGCCTGGGTTCGGATGAACCTAAAGTTGAATTGTTTTAAACCTTGTGCTAGCCACTTAACATTACATAATCCCCATGACCAGTGAAGCAAGTAATTCGATTTTCCGTTTAGTCTCGCACTAAAGTCGGTATACATTGTATAAAAAAAACGATGCGTGTGTGTGTGCATTTATATATATACTGTACATTGATATCTTAATAGGCATGGATGTAAACGTTGATTTAGAATATGAAAAAAGGGGACACGCAAATACAGCACGGCTGCTCCGCATTTCGACAGGAATATTCCATTTACACGAGGATACATTGTCGGCGTTAAAATTAAACAAACAAGGAAATCAGAGCGTGGAATATCCACGATTTCTCCGCGATGGGCTCGACTCCAGCAGTCCCCAACAACAACAACAGCAGCAAGAACAACAACTTGCCGAGCTGTCGACCTGAGCGCTGTTCATTTGTACCGGGGCTGGACGCGGCGTTCGGGGGGGTACACGTGACCCACACAACCTGAGCTCGACTCCCGGCCCCGGCTAACATCACGCGCGAATGATATCTGAACTTGTTCTCAACTCACCTCGCATCACCTTTGCCTTGTTCCATCAACCCCTTCACTGACCAGGGGTGGTGAAGTATGGCCGTGGAATAGAATCCCCCGTGACCAAGGCGGTGGATTGACAAAAGGCACGATTTCAATGATCATTAATACTGCACAAACGCGTGCCAACCGTGCTGCTTTGTTGTATAGCGTTTGCAAATATATAAACACACGCGTTATGTAACAACGCATATCCGATGATTGATTCATCAAGGGCTTCGTTTATCGTGGAAGGTCTTCCAGAGACCCCCGTCTCCCCGCCTCCCCCGAAGTGGCGAGAGTCTTTTCCGGAGCTCAGCCCCCACCACCCCCGGCACAGCCCCGGCTGAAAATCAAACCGTGAAATTCATCCGCAAAAGCCGAATGAGTGAGCGGAGTGTGGCTGTCACGCTGCCACGCCGCTGCGGTGATAACGAGCAAGGGAGGCAATTTGGTAGGGGGGGGGGCAGTGTCCGTCTTCGCAGGGAGCACGGGGCAGGGGCGTCTCAAGGTGTGGCCGCGTCGACAACGACTACACCCCCCCCCCCCCCCCAACACGTGCCCCTTGCTCGCTGCCACGAGATAAGTTGGTTTTCTTCTTCCTGGGGCCGTGAGCGATTGGCGCGGCTCGGCAGGGTGTTCGCGGGATGGAGGAGGCAGGGACGGATGGATGGAGGGAAACAAGGAGTGGGGGGGGGGGTGGTGGTGTGGAGAAGGAGGAGGAGGGGAGTCCGGCATGCAGCGCGCTGCACATGAAGACAAAAGAACCGGTGACTGCTCTTAACAACGCGACTACTGCCATAGCTTGCCCGTGGCCGCCGCACTTGTCCGTGAGTCACGCGCACGCCGCCGCCGCTGCTGCCGCTGGAGATTGGGGACGTCGCTCCCCGCCGGCTCGCCAGGCGCGACTCCAATTAGAATCGCGGAACTCGTTCTCTTCCACCTCCCCACCTCCCCCCCCTCCCCCCTCCAACACGCGCCACGCTAATTAACGGCGTTCGTCTTCTTCTTCTGCCACCGCCGCCGCCGCTGTCGAAAGTCGACTTTGCCGACAAAAGTGTCGGCCCCCTCCGATTGTTTACTCCCGTGGAGGGGCGTGCGTCCAATGAGATGTCGCGGAGTCTGCTGATACGAGGGACAAAGAGGCGGACGGGACGTCCCCTTTTGTTCGGAACAATGCGCCGTGCCGGAGTTTGGATTACACCGCGGGTCCCTTTTGTGGGCTCCCTCCATCCCCGGAATGATTTCTCCCGTCCGCGCGCACGACGGCGGACAGACCGAAGGGAACGCACGAACGAAGGTAAAGCGAGATCGCCAATATCCATCTGCATCGGAAGATTGTGTCGGGGGGCGGGAGGGAGGGGGGGGAGGGGTCCGCGCGGCAGTGTTGGTGATGTCCATTGTTCCTGCGCGGAGTGGCGCGGACGGCACCGCGCATAGGAATGCGAAACAGCCGAGGGGTTCTGCAAGCCGCTGTGCTTTTGTTGCGCTTAACAAGTCGCGACTCGGGGAGAACGAAGTCCCAAACGTCGCCAACGCACACGACCAGATGGCGAATTAATCGGCGTCTTGTTTCCGTCGCAAGTTTACGCGAAGAGGCTGTCCGCTTTGTCTCTGCGTTTCGAAATAAGGTCGGCCAACTGATGAAGCTTGCGTGGGGGTGTGTGTGTGTGCACTGCGCATATTTTGTGTTTCGTGACCGGCATTTAGACATACCGTGCTATCGGTATAAGAAGCATGCTTTGTGTGTAATCGATGTGTGTTCATTAGCGTGATGATCGCGTTTGACAGTTCATGGGGGCGGTTTGTCCATCAGAATGTGTCGTGTGCGTTTATTTAATTGAAAATGTGGTGGTGGCGATGCCAGTGTCTGTGCAGTATGCACCAGCGATCCTTGTGCATTGTTCCAGACAAAGAGCAGCAACTTGCACTCAGCACAGGCATCTCTTTGTTTGCAAATTGGCCAAATGATATTTATATTGGAAAAGCTGCTGAGTTTGTGAGCGCGTGTCTGCCTTTTTAATAATTTAGTGCTGGTGTGCAAATTCAAACGAATGTTAAACGGGCAGTACTTAGTGTATATATGTTGTTCATAAACCACCCGCTATGTATTATTAGTATTGCATGAAAATCAATACAGTTTATAGTTGCAGTATATATACATTCGATAAATTCCGATAGGTAATGCTATTTATTATTTAAAACAGGTGTTAATAATATACAACAAGGCTGCTTCAAGAAGAAATTAGCATGTTTGACAGTTGGTCACTGTTCTCAGACTCGCCAAAGGGAAAAGCACAAATACGTGGATTTATCATTCCCATTCGCATCAACGCAATACAGAGACTGGCTACAGTATATTTGAGGATGGTATCCGACAGTATCGGTATTTATGAATCCATGGAGGACTTCACTGCACCTTGCGCCGTGGAATTATTTGATATGCAAGATCGTAATAAAAAAAAAAATTATATACACAAATCAATTATTGCGAGAGTGCTGTACTATTTAGAGGCTTTAATGCATTAAGGTGGGACGAACGCGACAAGGCGGATATTGGCTCTCAGAGCAATGCCTGGATGGAGCAAGCTGTTGCTTCTTAGACAATGCTGTATTCCCGGCAATGCCACCACATCCTTTCATTGTCTCGATGTGTAAATGAGAAGTTTCTCGATTGTACGCAATTCTAAAATGTTGCCCACCTGTTGTGCAGGTTATAGATCGTTAGGGTGACATTAAACCCAATGAATCAACTGAGATTTGCTGCATTTTGCTGGGCGAAAGCCCCAGCCAGGAACGCAGTTTTCATCTCTTGCCAGACGGAGCTGGTGTTAAACGCAATGTAAATAGGTTTCCATCAATACAGGGGAAAATGAATGCACAACATTTAAGATTATTGAACAAAAAAAACGCACTTCTGTCGTATGCAAGATAGCAACGTAATTAAATGGAAATCCACATGAATTACAAAAGTGTAAAATATTGCCAGGACACATTTTTTTTACGATAACTCTTTGAATGTAACAATTGATTAATTTACTAAAATGTAGCAAACAATACTTAGAGAGAATATCAACAAATATTCAAGTATGCTTTTTTTAAATATTTAAAATAACGCCTATGGCTTGTGTCCAAACTATTAAACTAAACTGGTTTGTATCTGCAATACGGACTCACGTTAGCGACTTGCTGCGAAGAGTGTGCGTGTGTTATAAATCACGAGCAATGTTACCATCGTCATTCTGCTGCTGTATTCCAAGTCCCGTGGCGGATGCGATATCGCCAAGGCCCTCGGCGCGATTGTTTCTGATGCCATTTGCGCAGGATCCGCGGTTTAATTTCTAAGGCTGCTCATATAATTCCCGCAGCAGGGCGACACAAAATCTTGTAAAATATAACATCACATACCCAGTTGTCGTCGCAAATATAGATTTTCGAGTTTCATGTTGCAATCTATATTTTTGAAGGGACCATAGTGTGCATCTATTATTTTTGTTGTTAATGTGGCGCTTGCGTTCTTTATTGTCTCTCTTGCCAAGGGAACATCGTGTCACAACAGACATTTTATTGGTTAAAGAACAAAAATTAACCTCGCAATTTTACCGTTTGAATTCTCCTCGCGCTGGGGTGCAGCTACGTGGTGTTATCGAATAGTTTTCAGTCTCATTTTATTTGGGTGTCAACTGTCCCATGAAAGCATTTGCAAGTCCTGGCTAGTGCGGGCCGAGGTCATTACCAAAATCCCACGTAAAAACTAACAAAAAACACCATTAATTGCGCTGCGTGACTGGAGGCAAAACTTAGCTTCACTCAGTCTCATGGCTTCCTTTCAGGAGGGTCCTGCCAAGTTTTCGGAGTAGGAAAGGCGATGCTTGCTATATAATATATATTCCATTTTAGAAATGTTCTGGTAATTTTCCCAATTTGGACCGTTATTAACCAGTAAACTCAAGCGAATCAGATGACAAGTTTCGATTTAAAGCTTTCGTGACTGCAAGGATTAATCTTTTTTGGTTCTTTCGGTAAAGTCACGTAGAATGAGAATAAAACAATAAAATAAAATAACAATAAAATTCTCACGACGTTTCGGCCACAACACAAGCAGCCTTCTTCAGGTGAAAGAAGGCTGCAGGTGAAAGAAGGCTGCTTGTGTTGTGGCCGAAACGTCGTGATAATTTTATTGTGGTATTTTATTTTATTATTTTATTGTTTTATTCTCATTCTACGTGACTTTACCGAAAGAACCAAAGCAGATGACAAGTCTTAGATGACTTCTATATGCAGAGGCGACACAGCTCATAACACATTAAACTGAGCAGTATATATACACGTACCAAATGTGTATTGAATAAAGAATATAAAAAAATATTGGGACATATTAGATGTAAGTAGATTTTAAAATTAAAACACGTTTTAAAAAGTATGCTTCCAATTACATATGTATCATAACGGTGACAGTATAATGTTATTTTAATTGTTTCACAGACAATGCCCAGAAATACTGTAGTGATCTGTGCATGTTGTGACATTGGAAAATTGAATACCCCACAATCAGAATAATAATTGTAATACTTTAATAACACTGGTGTTTAGATGGCTCCCATAACATAAACTCAATGCAGTTTTTTTAAAGCCTTTTTACAATCGTTATTTTCCACTCTACAATTACGGTTGTGATGTTACCTTTGTGGAATCCACAATGTATATTTCAATAGGCTCTTACACAGAATTGAGGCTCTCTCACATTGAAATAATCAGAGGCGGATTAATTACGCAAGTGCGTGGCTGCAGTCAAAGTTAAAGTCCGATTCAGGTTCAAATTATTCCTGATCTAGGATGGTGCTGTGAGCACTAATGTAGAGACCCAGAGGAGTACTGCTAATATCTACAACCCACTCTACTATCTTGCTACTCCACAGAATTAACACATTTCTACAGGACCAGGATTCGCCCATTCTAACCTCTCTGATACAACAGCCAGTGTGTCCAGCATCGTTCTATTGGGCATGTAGAACTACTTGTCCAAATATAAATGTTTTGTTTCTAAATAAAACCATGAACTATTCTATGGTTCGTTCGGTGAAGTCACGTAGATAGAAAAAAATTATAACGGTAATATAATACAAATTAAAATGAAAATAAAGTTAATAAAAATAATAATGAAAATAACACGACGTTTCGATCGCAACACAAGCAATCGTCATCAGAAGAAAAAAAAACGCGAACTACCTGTGTAAATGTTGTGAAATGTACGACATACATGCATTACATTTTACTTTTGACCATCACATGCTCTTTACTCGCGGTTTCACTGTAGCCTGACGATCCAGTCTCTGCTCAGTATCATCTCCATCGTTAGCCACGATCTATGCACTGCTGGATGACAGCCACCCCAATATATCGCCATTCATTAGAGCTGTCGTGATGCGACTACTCATCTAGTTTGTGCTCACGAGCTGATTTTATCGCTCACTTTCACGGGGGATGTCATTTGGGGCAGTCTCCCTCTCTTGGCCGCCACTATCGTTTGTCCATAATCGCTTTATTGAAAAATGTAAACACATTCCAGTCGCATCGTTTTATATTTACTAAGAATTGTTTTTTTCCGTATGTATGTTTGCACTTTTTTATATTTTGAAAGCGTAAAACCTACAGTGAAAATTCCACGTGACAGCTACACACAGTCCTGTCTGACCTGTACACCTTAGAACGTGGAAATGTTACACGAGGAAAAGCCTTGACCAGAGTGTTGTCGTACAATTTCACAACTCCACTATAGCCTACAATTTTTGGGATTTATTTTTCACTGCCCTTTGCATATAGGTTGTTGTCCTTCTCCGCACTTCGACATTAGCACTGTTGGCTATGTACGATGCCAAAGAAATTCAACATACATACGTAGAGTAGGTGTCTCGTGAAACTTGTACTACCGTTCGTGCATGAGCCCAGACCAGATATTGCACTTGTTGGTACCAACTAACGTGGCATAACGTGAGCGGTTTCAGTTTATTTACGTGGCCAATTACAGTGAATTATGCTATAGCCATGTGAAATGAGTGGCTTCCCAAACAATCTACACGTATCAGCTGTATAAATACATCGGTAAGACGAAAGTATTGCTCATGTCCACAGGGTCCGTACGTATTAATGGTTGTGCTGCTGGACAGCTCTACGTTGTGCTATCGGGTTGTGCTGACGTTTCGCTCCAGCACGTGGAGCGTCTGACATTGGGCCGAACAATCCGCAGTGAAACCCGATAGTACATCGGAGCAGCTCGCTGAGAACAATCATTGTGTCCTT